TATTTTCTTTGTCAAGTAAAACTAGTAGTCAAAGGGATATATAACAAATAGTTATATTTGTTATATTTGCACCTTACATTTACCTTCATGTTTACACTACTGTCAAGCCTAATACTAAAATGGACTGATTTATAACTGTGATAGTGATTTTGTTGACATAACTGAATGTGTTTTTTCTAGGCATTTCAGTAGGGCATACTACAGAGTCGCTATTAGTGCTGATGTACCAAGGGAGAAGCAACTTATTCCAAGAAGAATATGAAAATACGTTCTTCTTAGCAGTAGTATAGTAATAATGAGACACATGTATCCCCACACCAAGGTCTCAGCCAACAGTTTATCCCCCACCATGAACATAACAAATGCTGACATTTTCTTCAAAGAACTGATCATGAGATCTGCTCTTGAAATAACTTCTCGGTACATTTCCAGAACCGTACAAAGACAAAGCAGTGTGCGTTATATTCATTGTAGTTGCAATTGCAAAAAATGTGAGGAAGGATGAAATTTTGAGCTGGAAATAACCAACAACAGAATTCCTGCTGACTTCCTGAGAGCCAGAACTTCACAATCACTCTCTAAATATGTAATCTATGGTCACAATAAAAGAGCGGGATGTTTAAGTAACGGAATTTTTAAAATTATTGCCACAAAAATAGAGACTGGCCATGTACCATCACAACCAGCTATCTTTCAGAAAACTTATGTAGCGAGATTGATGTGAAGTCTTAACTGATGCCCTAATTTGGTAGTAGTACAAGAACTGAAACATCCTTCAAAGGTCACTCAGCAAAACCAATTCTGTTTCTCCCTTGGCTAAAGGACCTCCTACCATTATACTGTATAGCGGATCAGTTAAGGCAAGCTTCTTTTTAAACTCAAAGAGGTGCAATTCCCTTTGGCTTTTGTGAGAAGACATAATATTTTAACTTGAAGGAAGAGAATGAATGTCAATGGCTTGCCATCTGATGGTGATCTATATCTATTGATACAGATCTATTACCAAATCTGAAAAAAAAAAAAGATAAATTTGTAGCATTTTGTTGATAATTGTATTTTTAGGACATGTGTATTAATAAACACCTCATTTTTTTACTAGTGTTCACTGTCAAACTGTTTAAAAACGCCATCTGAAAAAAGTAGAATAGTCTGAGTGTTTATTCAATAATACTTTCTTTGTGTATCATATTTTCCATGCCGGACAATGGTAAGCATCTAAAAAATGCTGGTTTTGTAAGTCTGAAATGTGAGGAATTACAGGCAATATAAACAAATGTGAAACTTTGATGCATATTAAAATTGTTATAATTACACAGCATGTAAGATGTGGACAAAGTACTGATACCACATCTATCACAGGAAATTATTGTTATTATTATTGTTATTATCACAGGATAATAATAACAATAATCATCATAATCATCACAGGAACGTCGTATCACTGCAAGGTGATACAAGAAGTTTAAAATACACACTATACAATAAAAAAGATCAATCAAAAAAATTAATCATCTATATCTTGTGTTGCTAAATACTGTGCTGTCACCAGCACCTACAGCTGACTCCCACCACTTTCAGGACATTACTATAGGTCTTTATAATGTAATGCGAGCAATGCTTCCCACAGAAATGTAAACACCACAACCTACCATGTGGCATGTGGCAAACGTGTGTCTGTGGCAAATGGCATAAAGCAAGACTGGCCCTTTGCTCCACGTATGAGGGAGCTTGATGAGGGCATTTTTAGCTACTACATCACCATGGCAAGTGAACTGCTTAGGTAATGTCTACAATGAGAAGTCTACACACCTCAGTGCCTTCCTTTAGCTAACGAAGCATACATTTTCAAAGGCAAATACGAAACTTGAGCCAAAGAGAGTGCAACTCAGGTGGCTTCCCCATCATGTTCAACTGTTCAAACATGACCCTAATTCAGCCGCAGTATTATTAGTTTTATGTGGGCTTAAAAATTAATAAAGAAATCTGTGCTTAAGCTATACTAGCAGGTAAGCCATCGATTCTTGAAGCCTTAAAAGAACAATATTCTTGGACAGATCAGAGAAAAGAACACTTTTTTTTTGGTCAGTTCCTGCAAGCACACTGAATTGAATTGAAGGCCCAAATTATACCCATGTAAAAAATGTTTTCCAGACCAATGTTTCTTTGGCACATTTACAATCCATTGCTGAAAAAGGAATGTCACATGGTATAAAATCTTTCTAGACAGTATTCAGAATAGCCATGTAAAATTTTTAAAACAATCTTGTCCACAGGCTAGTCACTCCTGCAACAGAGCTTACAGTACCTAAACTAGTTGAAGCAAACTATGTATTTCAGGTAGCTCAGTGGAGGCTGCAACGCAGCTGGGGAAGCAGGAAGATGTAAATGGCCAGTGAGACCATGCTGTGCTCTATGCTTTAACACCTACCCATCTGGCATCAAGAAAGCTAACTAGCTGTAAACTAGATTGGGTATGCCCAATCTAGCTCATTTTACATTTGCACTAAGTCCATTTGATAACTGCACTGACACTATACATGATCTGAAAGTGAGCATAAATTATATCTGTCCCCTTGATGAACAATTTTTATCAGAGGCTATTTCCTGCTAGGAAACAAGATGAAATCTTATCACACATTCCCTCCATCCAAGGGGTGGGGAAAAACCTGTAAGCTCAAATACGTGGGCATAAAAAATACACAGTGGAAGAGGAGGGTCTAGAGTGCTATAATGGAGTTTCAGTGTGAACAGGAATTAGGCTCTTTAAGGTCATGTCTACAAGGATAATTTCAGACAGTCAGGAATTAACATTGCCATTTACTGAGCTGGCAGGACATGAGGCAACTTTTGATCAGACGCCAATATAAAGATGCACAAAAATCTCAAAACACTAATGCAATCTCAGCCTCTGGAATGACTACTGCTTTTTTTTTGTTCTGCCTTCTTATGATGGAGTGAAGGAATTCAATGCTTCAAAGAATTCAAGTGTCATTTGTCAATGAGATTCTTTGAGCAAGGCAAAAATTAAAATATTCCCATATCTTAACTATAGACAGCATACAAAAAGTGTGTGACAAATGATTTCTTCTTTGTTAATGACTTGTACAGACATAGTCTCGGAGCTAATCTAGAATTCTGTAATGGAAGCAGATAGGGAGCCAACAGAAACATACAGAAATATAGCACAAATCTGTAGGACTGTATGATATCACAATATTCAGTATTAACTTAGTAAACTATTAGTTACAAATCCCACTGTTCCGATCTTCTCTGTTCTAGATCATCAGGTTGAAGTGTTAAAATAGAACAGGCCTGACTGACACCAATGAAAGACACCATTATATACATTGGATCTACTGCTATCCTGTCTTTTAGGTAACTTTCAATACACACAAAACACACCTTTACAAGACAAGGTTTATGGTTTATTTCCAATATAAAGTATAAAATCATGTATATATAACATGTATATTACATGAGCTTTGGTGATGGTCTAGACTGCAGACTCACCAGCTCGACCATTTTAGTTCTTGCATTTCGATTCTAAGGATTAGTTCTAGGGCTTCTTGTTCCTCCCATTACGTATCAGTCTTGCCAAAATTGTACACTAGCAGCCATGCCTCAGGGGCAGACAAAGTTCTACCCTGTAGGCCTTGAACATGTTATTTTCTCTTATATGTCATTCTTCAGTCTGTATGTAGGAATGAAAAAATAAAATAAAATTGTGTTGTCACCTTCTAGGAGCTAGACTGGGTTTTGCAAAATTCTCCCTGCCTTCCCTCCTCCTAAATTTCCACAAACTGTATTCTTGTATGGTTAGGCAGAAATAATGAAAAATAAAATTAAGCTTTAAAACTTTGGATGCAATGTGGAGAAGATGGAGGTTATTGCATACTCCAAAGCTTGCACACTGGACAGGTCTTTTTCTGCCGGATAACTAAATTTCTTCTCTGAAACTTGGAGTTCCGAATGTAATCCAAGCTCCCAATCTGGTCTTGTATGTCTGTGGTCTAATTCTGCAGTTTTGCTTGCAGGGTAGAGAGAAAGATTAAAGGACTAAAACTGTCAAAGGTAAGAAGAAAATACCTGCAGGTCTCTGTGACAATCACAATATTCAAGAGCTGAGATTAAACAACACATGATGTTCTAATGGGAAAGACACACCATAGTTGCTAGTGAAATCTTGCAGACCCCAATCATAAGCTTCTCTAACAAGTGCTTTCACCTATTGTTGCAAGTCAGAATACAAAACTTTAGTGGGAGAATGTTGATATACTGCTAAGGCTCTGGCTTTGATGGGGAACACTTTGAATTCTTTAGTAAAAAGGAATACTATTCCATGTAGAGGCCTAGAAGTAAAAACAAGAATGTTGAAGTTCATCTAGGAATCTGCTCATACAACATTTCCACAATTAAACATAGATTGTGAGACAGCACTAGACAATCAATTTCATTTTACACTGCTTCTACTTTCCAAAAAAACCCACGTGGACATCTGTGCCATCTTTGGTGCAGTTGACAGAGACAAGAATTTCACTGGCTTAGGAACAATAAATAAGTAGGCGACTCATTAACACTAAAGCATTTTTCTGTCTGCCAGAAGAAATGGAAACTGATCAGTCAATCAAGAGATATCAAAAAGAAGACTGGATTTTCATGCATTTGTAGTGTGAGGTATCATCTAGTAAAACCAGCATTATTTACTTCTTCAGTGAACCTTTTCATACAGAAGACAACACCTTTGGTTTTGAATACAAAAATGAAGCACAGAAAAAGATTTAAATAAAAACCTAAACTCTCTGCAATACATATTTCATACTGCCAAATACATATGCAACCATTTGGTGTTTCCTTATTGCTATAAAAAAGCAATTTTTGAAAAGTGACTGCTGATGCAAAAAACCAGCCAAACAAAAAAACCCCAAACCACCACTGAATAACAAGAACCACACTAAACAATGTCCATAAGTCCCCCATTGAATCACAAGCTCACCATAAGAGATATCATTCTCAGTTTATTTACATTCCTAAGCATGAACATTTATTTTCCCGTATTTCATTCAGAACTCTTTTATAACTAAGGCCTCAAATCTACAATCAATAGAGTGTAGGCACAGAAATTCCCCTCCATGCTGCCGTTAGCAAGACTAGAAAGACCTACAACTTGATCCAAAGTCCAATAATGTCAGCGGGGAGTTTTTTTACTTCCTTCAACGGGTTTAGAAAGGGCATCTGAGGTCAGCAAGCTGCACTCCTCATTCTGTCAGAAATTCCACTGAGGCAGTGCAGTATCAGTCTCCACATAATTACATACATCTTCTTCCTGAAACTGAGGTCAGTCACATTAATCGTACTTTCATGAGAAAATGACTTTTGGAATCAAAATAGCTTTGTAAAACAGAAATAAAATACATACTATACATCGGTTATGGCAATGTTTTGCACTACTCTAAAAAGATGCACTGTTTAGTTTTTAAACTTTTCTATTACTAGAGCTGGAGTTGTTTATAAATGAGTAAAGAAATGCCTGTCAACACTCTTATGTTTCAGTACTGATTCTTCTGTTATACATCAAAAGTAGTAAGAAAAAGTAAGCTCCTCAGGCTCACCTGAGGCAACACACTTGGGCATATGCTTTGGAAATAGAGATGAATTTGTATCTGTATTCAATTAAATGTTTTTCTCCATGTTTTAAAATACCAAAAATACTGATAAATTACATCAACACACGATGCCAAATTTAAAACAGACATAACAGGGAAACATTTTCTTCATTGCTGCAGTTATCTAGAACTTCAATCATGGGCTACTAGAAAATATAATGAAAGAAAAATCATAAACAAAAGCAATTTTTTCCAGGGTTTTTCTTCCCTCCCATATTTGCAATCTGATAATAGTAGTAAAATAAATAAATAAATAAAAGAACATCATCCACAAATACTTCTATCAAGCATAGTTTCAGATCAATCTTGAATCAATGATACAATCCCAAATGATTAGAGTATATTTGTCATTTGCTGGATTGAGATTTGCAGCTTCACAAATTACACTGTATCAGCGGTATTGAGAATGCCAGTCTCTCTGTTTTCCTCTGTAGTGGTTGGCTCTTCCTTTAATAAAACGCTTAACTGTTTCTGTGCACATGAGAGGAAAAGTTCCAAACTATACAGATTTCTCTGACGGACAACTTGATCAAGCTGTTGAAATAAAAAAAAAGATAGATCAACTTTAAGCAAACCTGGAAATAAATGCCAGGGTTTGTCAGCAAAAATTCAACCATATTCAACAACAAAAATTCAACAACCAAATGCGACAACAACAAAAAACCCTAAGTATCTTCTATGCGTGCACTTTAGTAACAACTTTTTAATGAAGTATTTGAGTTTCTTCAGAATAAAATGTACATAAGGCTAAAAGTAACTTCCCAACAGCTGTCAAATTCTACATGAGAATTTGAAAAAGCTAAACAGCCTAGCTGCCACACTAGATAAATCCCCACAGCATTTTAAAACTGTTGCTGTTGCTTTTGTAAGATACTGCTTCTGCTTTAAAATAAGCACTACATACAACTTCATATTCAAAAATTCAAAATCTACTGTTAATTTAAACGGCAGCATGTTTAAATAGTTCCCAGGAAAAGTGGTAATATTTTCTGCCTACTTTGTTTATTCCAATGTTTTATTGGAGTCCCTTACTGTCAAACAATGCAAACTATATATGTACTTGCAGTAAAGTCAATGGCCCTTTCTTCCCCACCAAAAAAGATAAGAACACAATAATAAGACTTGGTAGGTTATGTCATATAAATGACATAAAAATACCATTTACCAAAAAGTATTTGAATGTTCTTAACGTCGTAACATTAACAAATAAAATGCACTGCAGAATTCCTTTCATTTGGATTTTAAAGTTCAAATGTCGAACAAATAATACCACAACTTAGAGATGTTTTCAACTTGACTATCCTTTAATCAGCCACAAATTCAACTAAATACATATATAACAATGACATAGGGTGCGACTGAAAGGTAATGGTACAAGGCTAATAGGACATAATTTACGCCACTCAAGAGAAAGGAAGTAATGGAATTTGGAAGAAGTCCAGCTCCACACTTCTGTCAAACGGTTGTGCACAATGACGCGAACTCTGCAACACCAACAAAATGCTAATGTGAGGCCACATGGCCCTAGAAGGCTAGAGCAACTAGTCTAGCAGACTGGTGGCAATCATTTGCAAATGGCCATATTTTTTAAAAAAAAATATCGTGGCTCATGTATCTAGCACTCACAGCTTTAATTATAGCTTTCAACAAAAAATGTGATCCTATGGTACCTCTCTGCACATATATGCTCATCATTCAGCAGTCCAGTTAGCTGCTCTAACAACCACTTGAATGGACATTTTGTTTTATAACAGATATACTTTTTAAAAAATATTAATACAGAAAGCAAGGCAAAGTTAGTGATACCTTCCCACTTCACTTTGAAAATGCACTCAGGGTATAGCTGCAGCGCTGTGAGTGAATACACAAAGGGAAACATTTTTATGACCCTGTGCTTTGCTGCTCTTTCAGTTCCTCTAACATGCAAAACCAGGCTCTGGTAGTTTGAATATTTTGGCATTTTGTTTCAACAGAGATGAATGTGTCAAATCTAGTCACAAGCAGAATACACACATTTTCTAGAAGCCACACAATCATAAAACTCTCCTTCAGTAATACGTCTGCTTGTACTTCTACTTCTCCTGCAAATTTCCAGCTGTTGTGCAAATTTTTGCATCTCTTAGCAAAAGCAGACATTAGTGCTCCATGCATAGCCTGATGTGAACCTAGCCCACTGATTTACAACAGATTTTAAAGCAGATCTAGTTCAAATAAATTTCAGAAAAGTCTGCTCTTGATATATTTAAGTAACAGCTGCTACTGACAAAAAAATGGAAGACTTGGAAACAGCAAACTAAGCTCTAAAGAAGCTGTATCTAGAAAAGACAGTCTGGAACAAATGAACAACGTAAACACACTGTTGTGATGGTGCATTTCTTCTGATTTGAAAGGTATCTTGCCTCCTTCTTCTTCTCTGGTCCAAAATATAAAGAACATTTTGCACAGGGAAGCTTGCAGATGTTTTTGTGCTTGTGACCCATATTTCTCTGGGGAATGGGCAGATATAGTGCAATTCACATAAAATCATCTGTTACGTCTTAAGAAAGAACATGAGAAACCTCTTTCTCTAAACATATTATGTCATCAAATTCTGTTGCTTCTGGTAGATATATCAGTTGGAGGAGCTTAGCATGAAACTGATTTTCAATGGTTTCCTTTTATTGCATATTATATCATCTATACTCCTAGATAGTTCTTTATTGAGCTTTGAGCCAGAGCTTTGGCTAAACTCTCCATTTTCTTTTCTTGCAGCCTTTCCTTGCAGATTCTGCTTTAAAGAGATCAAAGTAGCTCGCCAGATATGTGTTCTGATATGCTGCTGTTAACTTTCCTTACCAAGGCAGGAATCTCAAATTGTATACGGTTAAATTTATTTCACCAGGTACTAATGTAAATGTTTAATGTCTGTAGTGATTGGCTGCAATACGAACAAAACAGAATTTCTTCAGGCTTGAGAAAGATTTTAAAAGTCTCAAATGAATTAGGTACACATTTGAGGCATCTTTGTTGAACTCAAGTGGTTAGCTGGTAGTCTCCCTTTGTGCATAAGAAAAATTTATTGCTTGTTAAAAGTTTATGTAAATTCAATAACATAAAAATTCAGAATTCAGTTGCCCCTAGTCTGCTCAGTTTATGTATAAGCTTTGCCTTGAGCAGTACATTTTAAAACTCTTCCATGCTACAGTAAATGACAAAACACTCTGAAAAGACTTGGGATCTTCACGTAACACAAACCGAAAAGCAGCAAAATGATGCTGGCTTTGAAAATGGTACATTTGAATGTATTCAGAAGGAGAACATTCCCATTAATGGAGAAATTGACTGGGAAATAGAACCAACTCCAGTGAAGCTTTGTTATATAATATCTTGTTTAATGAAGTGTTAGCAATGGGCACATTTTTTTGAACAGCGCCTCAACATTGCTGTGCTTCTGCTTGCATAATATACAATGAGATGTGAAAATATGTAAGTAAGGCATTTTAAATCTTGTTTTTCTAAACAGTCCTCCCTCTCTATTTTTAGGTCCTGTTCACTTCATGGAATGATCTCATTATTTAAACAACCATAAATGGATATCTGGCAAATTAAAACTGAATGTGACTCATATGCAAATGTAATCAGTATGAATAATGTATTAGGGATGGAGCATTCACACAACCAAACCAACCCAACTGTTCTAATTCTATAGATACTGAAAAATGCACCATGTTGATCCAGATCTATCACACGAGAAGGCAATTTTCTACATCACACCATCACTGTTATTACTAATCAATGTTTCTCTTCCACCATGTGAAATCTATCCAGTTCAAAGTTCCCAGTTCTGTACATTGTGTCCTATTGACACAACTGAAATTAGCTCAAAGTTTTAATGTTCCTGAACTTCATGATTTTAAGTTACTCAACAGTATCTTTTAAACTCTGTACAGATTTTTTTTTTTTTTTAAGAACTAGAGTTGCCTCTCTATGTACTTGTATTCAACCTACTGAGGAACTGGCTATGTGAGACTTGGAAAAGCAGTTCCTGAACTCCATAGGGTCTATACCACTCCTGAAATTCCCACAATCATTGAGAGCCATTCATTTTCCAAAAATGAGCTGATTCTTGCAGGACATTCTAACACATTCACTGCTGTTTTTTCCCTTCTGTTTAAACCTTCGGTCCACTTTTGAGGTCTCAGTGTGATTCCACCATCCTTCTGGCCAAAGATGACTGGACGAGACTCCCTGTGGGGTCCCGCCTCAGTCATATCCCTAGACCACCCAGAATGATGTGCCTTTGAGCCACGCAAGGCATGCCCTGAAGGGAGGCACAGGCCTCAGCAGAACTCCTATCACTGGATGTAAGAATTTGACTTTGGAAATAAAAAGAAAGTCTCACACATAACTCTACAGAATACTGCCACCAGATGACTGCTTTCATCCCAGGCTGCTCTATTTTACTTTAAGTCAATCCACCTTCCCCTGTATCACTTCATAAACCCATAGCTCAAACCAAAGTTAATAATTATTCTTAGCTTTTATCATACAGCTCCAATTTTCTGTAAAATGGAATGAAAGTCTATATGGCCGATGCCTAAAGTAGAAAATAGTTTCTTACACAAATAACTGAGCATGCACATCCTCCATATTTTCCCCTTGTAATATCTACCTGCTAATGGATATATTTTCATGGCATATGTGCTTAGCTTCCTCTATTAAATATTCTCCAACCCGTTAAACATTTCAAATTGCTAGAAGAGAAACCCAAGTCAGAACTCTATAAATAACTACTACATGTCAGAATTATATTATCCATTACTAGTAACTAATAAAATATCCTATGGAAAATATAATTTTAGGTTTAGCACTGAAGATTTAAGGATGAAATTCTGATCTCACCATAGTAAAGATATGTTTCATTATTAATTTCACTGTGGCCTGAAGTTCACCCAGAAAAGTAAAGAAAGCAAAATTGATATTACATATGGGTCTTCAATTTTCCCTTTTGTATAAACATTAAGATGTTTGAAAGTGTATTTTTCAAAACTATTTCTCAGACAATACTGTTTTCCAATACCAAATATATTTGTAGCTGTAGAAAATGGTAGCTACCTTTATAAATACATATCCAACAATTTACCTGTACTTCAAATGATAATCTGATGATTAATGTATTCAAATGCAGTTCAGCTCACTATTCTGGCTCTGTAATACTAACACAAGTAAAAGTTGCAATCTTCTTTTTATCATGAGATTCAACAAATACAATGACCAGAGATTAAAAAAGAGCAAAGATGTTGAGTAAAAAGTTTTTAATTTTACTTTCATTACTGGTATTTTTCATAGTTGATCACACATATGTACACTGTAACATAAATAAAAAATAATCATACCATTATAATTTAAGGATGATGATCTTAGAGGTCTTTTCCAACCTTAATGATTCTATGATTCTAGTGAAGCAGAGCAGTTTCCCTTAAAAATCGTAAAATCAGAAATCAGCTTTTGAGTCCTGCTGATTTCTTATGAAACTCATGCAAAGAAGTACATCA